TATTTTTCTGTAGTCAAAAAATTACTGAAAACTAATAGAGCATTTCTTCCGTTGCAAAGAACTCAGACCATAACAAGTCAGAATGTTTTTAACACTGTGGATTCCTATTAGAAATTTCTGGTTGTGGCTTATGAATCATGTTTGCACGTCCAATGTCCAAGGTACCTAGCGGCAACTTAGATGAGCTCCCTCTGCTCCCTTTGCTTCCCCTCCCATTCTGAAACAGGGACAGACTGGGAGAGAGGAGGGGCCATTGCTAGGAAAAACCAGCTGCAAGTTCCCAGCCAGCAGCTAAATTCCCAACCCCCCTGGAACCAGCTGTGAACTTCTTCTGTTTGTTCCAGGAGATTATTGTAACTCAGAATGCTTCCTGCCAAGTGTTCTCAGTTACAGTGGGGAGCTCACTTCTGTCTGCATCTTCATTGCCTTAGTTTCTGTCCTGCCTTTTCTGGTGCTTCATCAGGGTTTCCTTGGGCTATGCCTGTTCCTGCAGCACTTGGTCTTTCTGTCAGCATATTTCAATCTTTTTTTTCTGCTTTCTCTGTATTCTTCAGAATATTTGTTGCCATGGGTTCAGCAAACCGTTTTTTTGCCATTGAGTTGCAAACCTGCTTTGCTACTTCCACCATTTCATCCTCTACCCATTCTTATATATTTGCCTGTTTTCTGGGTTTCTTCTTGTGTGTTTCGTTGCCATCTTCTGTGGTGTCAGAACTGATGTTCTCCGGGCCTCTGGGGAACACTTCTGTGTTTCCATATCAATTTTCCTGTCTTCCAAGTTCTCGTTGTTGGCCTGATTTTAAGAACTAACAGCCAATACTCCATTGTGGGCAGGGTGCAATATCCCTAAAATGATCAATCACACCACATCCAGTCAGAAACTTGGAGCCCTTTATTGATGCACAGGAATAGCATATAACAATCAGCAAGCAAGCAAGCAAAGGCTCTCACCATACACTGTGCCCCAGAGATGCAGGCAGGAAGACAGACATCTGGCCAGCATGTGACTGTCTTCTGAGGGTCTCTTGCTTTAGTTTGCAGCAGTCTCACCTGGAGGAAGCTGCTGAGTGATGAACACTTGCTCCCTTTATTCCTCTCAAGTGTTATACCTTTAGTTCATTCATTGTGTGCCTATGTTGGTGCTCATCCATTGGTGGTCCAGTCCAATTTACCTTGTCCAACCAATGGAGGTACCATCCATATGTGTTTCACACGCCAGGCATCTAGTAAGATGTGATCATATAGTTGGAATCTTTCTATCCCTAATTGGGACTTTTAGGTACCACGACAAGCTAGCTCCTGCAGCTGCGCTCTTATCTTTTGAATGCATGGAAGATGGGACCGCTTCTCTTCCCAAGACACGTTCCACTCCTAGAAAAAAAAATCTCTTATTTCTGGAATGTGTGAGAACTGCCTTGTTACAAAGCTGCTCCCCTGATAAGCTATGAGGGCCTGATTTTGTTTTCTAGCACACTAATTAGCCACACTTTTTTCCTGAATGATAAGCAGTAAGCAATAAATTACATTCTAAACATTTGAAATTTTAGCCATCACTCATCTGTGGCATCATTTTTAGTTTATACTGTCCCCCTGCCATCATAAAAACTTCTCTGCTGCACTACAATATTTCCATAATTCAACCGTTATTTAGTGTCTTCAGTACCATGTGTCTGGCCTCTCTTCACCTTGACTGCGTCTTCCTCCATGGTGTTATTGCCAAGCTATTTTCCTTATATGGGAGAAAAATACTTTGTGGCCTTCCACTTGCTTATAAACACTGAAACACTTTGCTTCAAAAGTAGGTCGTAATATCATTTCTCCTACATTAACCAAGTTCTGTAATAGCTTTTTACTTGGAGATGCATACGATTTGTTTTATCAAGTCTTGTGGCTGCAACAAGTTACATATAAAACAGTCTCCCAAATAAAGTGCATCAAAACTATTCTTTTTTAAAAGCTTATGAAAAAGCTTCAGTATCCCTTCATAGCTTTTGTCTCCAGTGGTTCTGCTCCATATTACTCTTGCTCTGTACTTTCTCCTTTAGGGTTTCTGTCCTGGAAACTGACATCTTTTTTGAGTCGACACAATATTAGATGTGCTAATGCTCAGTGTAGTTAAGAATTGGCAGGGAAAATAATCATGCTGGACTTAAAAAGAGCCCTTGTCTATGATAAATGTTGATATTGTGTTGTGTGCATGTGTTTACAGTACTGTTTTAATAATAATATAATTTCTCAGGTGACAAGTCTGTGCTTAAACTTGTTGGTATAGTAATGTTAGTTAAGGCTATAATGTGTTGTCTTTAATGACCTTCCTATATTTTCAGAGGCTTTCTGTAGACGTACTGGCAAAAGAGTGTTTTTGTCACTACAGACTTGTAGTAGAGAATGATGTCTTTTATTACACCAACAACATTTTTGAAGAAAAAAATTCTTTAATTTCTTTTTGTCACTATAGCTTTTGTTCAGGGAAAAAGTTTAAGCTATGATACTGAAAAAACACTCTACTGTACACTGCATCTGTGCTAGGAGGGTAGGCAGTGTAAGCTACATTCCTTCTGTTTGTATAGACTAGGCCAGGGCTGTCCAATTTCTAAGAAGCTGGGGTGCTGCGTCAGTAAAGGCTGCAATCAGGGTGAGCCATGGGACCCAAGGCTGCACACTGTGGATACCTCTGCCACTGCACCCCACACCTGTTCTTCTTTGCCACCCCTGCCTTCTGCTGCACCGTGATCCCAGCCTCACTGTCTACAACCCCATGCCACACTGCCCTACCCTCTGTGATGGAGGTAACAGCCTGGAGTCCCCTGCTGCTGTTGCAGTCAGAGCAGTATGGAGAATGCTGGCCAAACAGGGTCACATGTGGCCTGCAGGCCACCAGTTAGTCCTGGATTAGGCCGTAGCATGGACAAAGCTTTCCTGTTTGCTTGTACCATTCTATGCATATATTTTGTAAGCTTTTGGGGGCAAGGAAATTGTTTAGTACATTTATTTTATTTATGTTTAGTGTATTTGACTGACTGCAAATTGCAGTGCAAGGCATTTGCTGCTACTTGGGTTAACAGTAACTTGCACTTGTAGTGCTACCGGATGTGTAGCCTATGTTTACCAAAGCAGGATCGAATGTTCTTGGAATACAGCCTATACTTCCAATCCATGTAATGAATAAGTATGGTGTTTAAGCTGTATAGTCCTGGGAATACTAATTAGGTAGTTAACACAGAATAGTAGTTGAGGAATAGCTTTTGAACAATGCTTGCATTCAGGAGAAACTGGAGACTAAACTTTGTTTATGCAAATTAGCATAATTAAATGACCAAAAGTAAACTATCTAAAGTTGGGGTTCATATGAAGAGAGCTATATTTTTATTTTGTTCTCCTACTAGCAGTGGCACTTATGTTTCTGGTTATTCTGCTTGTATGTGGTCAGGTCAGAATGTAAAATGGTAAAAGGTAACCATTGGTATAGGGATTTTTTTTGGGGGGTGGCTTTTTTTCTTTTGTGTAAATGCTTCCAGCTTTGTTACCAGTTCATATTCAAATCCTACTCTTAATCACCTATCCCCATGGAAAATAATTTGTTAAACTTCAGAGCTATGCTAAAACAGATGACTCAAGCTGTCTGTCAAGCTGGGTAAACATAATTGTAAGGCAACATCCACTTTTCCTAAAGAAAAAAGGAAAATTAAAACTGGCAAATGAGCCTAGATTTGTCTTTAACTTTGAGAGGAAAGTTCATTTTTAAGTAGATTTTTGTTTATTTGAACAGAAACCATAGAGAAGCTATTAATCTAAGAAATATTAATTGTCTAATTTAAATTTTATAGGCTTCTTGTTTTTACATTTTAAATTCCGAGTAACTTCCTAAAACACTTAGATTTTATTTGCCCTATTGAAAAGCTATATAAACTATCAGTTGAACAATTCAGAAGATTCTTACCTCAATAAAGGACAGTTGTTACATGGCAATTTTTGTTTTATTTACAAAGGTAGCCCATGGAATACTTTTTAATGAGAGAAAGCAGATATTTCCTCTTAAGGGGAAAAACTTCCAGTTCTTTGGTGTGACGTTTCATATTAAACGTGGACCAGACTAAAGGCACTTACACTGGGAGACTGACCTACTACAGCAGTGGTTGTCAGCAGGTCCTGTTTAACCAGTAACAAAACCAGTGAGTGGTTTGACTCCTCATTGATAGTTATCAGCAATGGATGAGTCTCCCAGCAGTTTTAAAGACCTCTGTAATGAACTAGGGCTTCGTCAAGTTGACATTTTTGTTTTGCCAAGTTCCTTTGACAGTGGAATGTTTTTAATATTTGGTACTAAAAATATTTTGCCCTCATTACGTTCTCAGGTTTTGTTGCTTCTGTTGAGGTTCAAGTCTGCAGTTTTTCTCTTCTGTTGGCATCTGGATTTAATTAACAAACACTGTTTTAACCCAGTGTTTGTTCAGGCTGTGCAGTAGAGGAAATGCAAGATTTGGATTGCTGCACTCATCTACTTCAGCTTTTGGAGGACCAAAACACCCACTCGCTACTACTCATCTTTGCCTGCTGAGTAGATTGGTTACGTTTACTTTGTTGTTATTTTGGTATGAGAGAGAAAATAAAAATCCTTAGATTAAAATAATTTTTAATATTGTTTTAATATTTCTAAATTTTTCTTTTCCCTGTAATGCCTTTTCATAGACATACTGCAGAAGCATTTAGTAGGTAAACTGTTGCAAGCAATTTCATGGGAATCTGAAACTTCACAAAAGTCCTGAAAGTCTGTCCAATAGATATATTAATTCATATTCTTGCTAACATTGGCATAAAATTATGTGGCATCTGCTCTATTTTAGTTCACTGCGTCATCTGCTTAATTTTTTTTGTTCTTGATGCCATGCTTGCATGGCATTAATGAGCATATGTATTTAAAGGCATTTTGGTTGCAAGAGATTGTTATGGAACTTAAAATTACCATTACAAATTTTTCCTTTTCCTTCTTCTAAAAACAGATAATATACTTGAGAGAATCTCCAGAGAATGTGTACAGGCTCTTATTGTCTGGAACCATCTCTTACCTTCCTTTCAGGTAAATATAAAAGGTTTATGCATTCTGGTCTGTGAGAATATGAATCTTGTGCAGAACTGCTGATTTTGGGTCCTTTGGTTATGACTGCTGTATATTTTGTCACATATGGAACTCCCTACTGGAAAGGAGGTCAGGTAGTGAAATGACAGGCATATGGTAATGATAATGTTGGAGTAATTGTGTAGCTATGATGGTCCAAGAAATATGCAAGAATAAAGGGTATTTTTGGTGGTGACATCTTTTATGAGACCAGGTCTAAGAAAGTAAAAGGTAAGGTAACTGTGAACAGTATTTAGCATAAGCTGCATCTGCTTCTTTCTCTGATTTGCAGAGTACTTTGTGCTCCAGAGCTTGTCTAAAATCTCTCCTAACCATGCAGTTGGTCCAGTAAAAATATATTGCCTGCTGTCCACGCCCTTCCCCTCCTCCCCCTTCCCAAAATCGTGTATCTTGCCTCAGAAGTGCACTAGCAGAACTGCACAAATGAGGAATCTAATTTGACTACATGTTTATTTTCACTGGTTCTTTAATCTGTTGTGCATTTTGCTGGGATTTGCACCAAAAAAGCAAATTGCAATGTTAATACATTTGAAATGTAAAATGTTAGTTGAACTACATTCTCTTAAGCACTTGTCAAACACTGTGTTGATATTTTTGTGATTTGCCATAGTTTTGATATTATATCTTACTGAATATGCT